GACGCACAAACATGCACACTGCTTCAACACACAGCTCTATATATGCACTTGCATTACACACAAACTTAAAACGCACATTCACGTACAGATGCGGTGCAACCTGTTAAAGGTTGCTACGATAAACTTAGACGCACACACGCACACAAACATTATTGCCGCTACCAGCAGTGAAACAGACAAATTTATGTATGCGGCTGAGACACAGGCAGCACTGTCTGCATGTGGAAGGTACACTAAGTGCTCTCTGCCTCTCATCTCATCTCCACGCCCCAAAACCAATCTTCCACTCTCTCCTTTCATTCACAATGCATGCTCTCTTCTTCATTTGTTGTGAAAGGCAAGAAGACAAGCCTATTCTCCGCCTGCATTTTTCCTCCTCATCCAGACAAGGAGAAAGCAGAGAGAGGGGCTGCAGACACACAGGGACCACAGCCGAGAGACTTCCAGCGCAGGGTGTCAAACCCTATCCCCGTTCTTGAGGATTGATTATAGATGTCTGCTCACACAAATTCAGCCTGGCTTTTCAGCTTTGTGAGAAATCCGTTGCGGGAGGATTTTGTTCTTCTTTTTTTTTTCTCCCCAAATTAAAAAATGTAAGTGGATGAAATTTTAATTGGGACTGTGCTCATCTATTGCGCACTGGGTCTGGATGTCTTAAAACACCTAAACCAATCATATGCAGGTCGAGTCTTCGTGGCTGGTTCACATCCTGTACACTCCATCCCTGTAGACCTCGAGCAGGATCTCTGATAGCAGCTGCCTGTGCGTGTCTGTCTCTGTTTGATCAGTATGTTGTTACTATAAAAGTGCAGCACGTTATAAAAGGTGAGAGGTTTGAATAGATGACAGAATGATAGTGTGAAGTCGAGGGAACCTTCAGATTTGAATGATAATTCTCTGTAGGTTCATCACGACAAGAATTATCCGTTCCCATTGTCACACAGTCTTGATATTGTCATTTCATACATTTTTAAGGCAAAATATCAGTACAGACATTTCAGCAAAGCATCAGAACAAGCTAGCTGTACTTACAAATGCTGTGGTTCTACTCCAGATGAAATGAGACAATTCAGTTTTCAACCTTGAATATTTTGTGTGGTGAATAGGTTTGGCATCATGTCTTAATAGACTTCCTCAGTTTAACTGAGGGATGACGACATTTCAGTGCAGGCCAATAACGTGTGGAAAAACACTTCAATGCACCACACATCCCAAAGGTACGCACTGACATATGGTGACCCAAAAGAAGACTACGTTCTGGCTCTTAACATTTGAAAGGCATTCAAATCAGACTAACATACATACTGTATATATTCACTGGCCACTTTATTAGATATCTGTTTAACTACTCTGTAAAATACATATATAATCCGCCAATCACGTTGCAGAGAGAAAAATCGTTTGCATTAAAACATAGTCAAGAGGATCATGCTAAGCATCAGAAAGGAAAACAAAGGTGATTTCAGTGATGGGCTGGTTTGAGAATTTCAGAAACTGCAGATCTACTGGGATTTTCATCTAGGGTTTAGTGAGAATGGTTCGAAAAAGAAAAACGTTCTCCAGAACGGCAGTTCTCCAGGTGAAAACACTTTAATGATGACAGAGGTCAAGGGGAGAATGGCCAAACTGGTTCAAGCTGATAGAAAGACAACAGTAATTAAAGTAACCACTTGTTAAAAACAAGAGCAGCATCTCTGAATGCACAACACACTGAGCAGATGGGCTGCAGCAGTAGAAGACCACACAGAGCGTCACTCCTGTCAACTAAAGACACGAAACTGAGGCTACAGTGGGCATGGCCTCACCAAATTTAGACAACAGAAGATTAGAGAAACCAGGTCTGATGAATTCCTGTTTCTGCTGCAGCATTCAAATGGTATGATCAGAATTTGGGGTAAACAACACTTGGCACATTTAGAGCACCTTACTAACAATTCAGCATCATTTAAATGCCAACCTGAGGATTGTTGCTGACCATGTCCACACCTTTATGACCCCAGTGTACACATTTTCTAATATACACTAGAACGTGACAATCACTTCACTGTGCTTAAATGGTCACCACAGCAACCTAATCGACATCAAATGGAGCACTTTTGTAAGGTCATAGGGAACAAGTTCCAAATTTCTGATTCTAAAGAAATAATCGGCAGAGTTTCATTTCAACTCTGCTTATCGTTTTTTAAACAGGGCAGCTAGAAGGTACTTGGTTCAAATCTCAGCTGAGACCTTTCTATGTGGAGTTTGCATGTTCTCCCTGTGCCTGTGTGGGTTCTCACCGGGTGCTCTGGTTTCCTCCCACAGTCCAAAGACATGCTAAGGTTAATTGGTAATTCTAAACTGGATGTAGGTGTGAATCTGAGTGCGTTTGCTTGTCTGTCTCTGTCCTGGTCCTGTGACGGACTGATGGCCTGTCCAGGGTGTAAACCTGCCCTTCACCCTGAGTCAGTTGAGATAAGCTCCAGCCCACCTGCGCTCCTCCACAGGATAAAGCGAGGTATAGAAAACAGACGAATGGTTCCGAAACAAATTTCACTTGTGCTCGCGTTTATCCTACACTCCTGTGAAGAGGTCAGGTCTTTACATATGTCATAGGAACATTACATGAACAGGGACTATTTGTTCTCTGCAACAGCGAACATAAAACACACGCTCTCTACAGCTAACTAAAGGACATCTACTAACCATTATAGCAACGCTTTCTGTGACTGCAGCAACATGCTGGTACTTGTCTCAAACACCAAGCTGAGGGTCTCACTTCACAAATTATACCCAACCCTACGTTTTTGGAATGTGGTGAAGTATAAGACTTGCATCATGAAGGTGTCGCCCACAAATTTGCAGCAGCTATATGATGCCATCATGTTAATGTGGACTAAAATCTCTAAAGAATGTTTTCTTTCTTTCAGCTTGAATATACACCACAAAGACTTAAAGCAGTTCTGAAGGTAAAACATGGTCCACAACTAGCAAGATGTACCTAATCAAACAGACAGTGGGTCTATACACAGATAAACGTATATATAAAGTTCATGGCAACTGTCTGGCTGACTAAATCTCCAATCATCACCAGGGCTTTCTCTATATTTAGAAAATCAATCAAAGCATTGAAATGTTAAAATGACAGATGAGCTCTGCAATAAATAAGCAACTGCAGGCAGTGGACATAAAAAAAAGGTTAATTTCCTGCCCTTGAGTTTGTTGTTGATGCGCTGCCTGAGCTCAGCACTCCTCCAGATTGAAGTGCAAAAACAATGTCGGCAGGTGCGCATTTGATCTAACTGAATGACATTTACCCAGGTACCCTTGAGACCGAGTGGTAAAGCACCATAAAGACCTTTTGTTGCTTCACCTCTGATGAAAAAAACACAACTCACTAAAGCTGAATGAAGGAACGCTTGGGTTACTCAGCACAGAGTGTGATCCTGGCAAATGGAGATGTATGCTGAATGATTTTTGTGTGTTTTTTCCACTCTGCTCTCCTTTTGCATCTGTCTATTCCCAGTGATTGCCTCTCAAACACTATTGGACCTTCACTGTTTTCGTCTTTCTTGTCTTCTCGCTCTAAGCATCATTTCCCTTCCATCTTTCTTGTTTGTTCCATTCTTCCCCTTGTCTCTACCCTTACCTCTCTCTAATTAACACCTACTGTAGGCTCTATCAGCCTTGGCAAACCCCCAAGGACAGAGCTGGAAAGAGAGACAGAGAGAGGGAAATAAATACAATAAGACATGAGAGAAATCAACTGAGCAGAAAGAGAAACTGGCACATAGTGGCAGAGAAACAGATAAGACAGATTCAGACGGTGGCTGTTGGATATGTAGCCTCATTCAGCCGGTCGCTTGCAATTTTTAAAAATGAAAACAGATGCTATAGCTAAATTTATCTGAATAAAAATATTAACTAAGCCCGAAGAAACAACAGAAACATGCTTTACATAGGCCCTGATGCACACATTTTGCACACAATCAAGAGCTCTCTAGAAGCCATCTGTCTGCGTAAAGCCATCAGAGACCTCAGGAAAACATCAAACGATGCTGTAGATCTCGAGGTGCTTGACTGCATGTGTATATTTGAAGCGACAAGAAGAGTGTGTCGTCCATTTTTATGGCTCGAGCCTCAGCTGGTGTTTATCAGTGAGGGTGGAGCACATGTGTGTGTATGTGTGTGGACTTAGATCATTTCAGGCAAGCAAACGCACCGTTATAAACTGGCATACGAATGCACACGGACACAAATATACAAGCATGCAGGTGTGCCACTCAATATGTCACCATACAGACAGAGAAGAAAGAAATTGAATGCATGCACACACACATAGAAATTGGAAGCTTATAAAAAGGCAGTGCAAGCCATCCGGTCTGAAAAGGTTAAAGCTGTTTGCACAAATAAAGAAAAAGAAAACAACCACAGGCAAATGCACCAGCGCCTAAATTTGCAAGCGTTAACAAACACACACACGTAGGTTGAGCAAAGTGTGTGTGTACATGTTTTAGCGAATGTGGCTACTGCATTAGTGGTACAGATTTATTACAAGTATCGATTAACCGCGGACGTCCAAAATCACACGCGCGTAGCAAAGCACTGAGTCAACAATACACTGAAAAATGACTGTTTATATCCACAGCACTCCACACCCATAAATTATGAACTATTGACTTTGCACCTGCGCGCACAAACACACAGTAGCACGGGCCAGACAGACACACTCTGAGCAGCATGCAAAAACACTTGGAACACCTGCCACAACAAAGAGCTACCTGCCACCAAGCACAAAGAGAGATGCAGACAGACAGCGCACATAGGACACAAAACAGTCACACAAACACACAGGTTTTTTGGCCAGTAAACAAGCACTGCATTATTCGAATAAAAGAATCGCAACATTTTTGAATTATTTGGTGTCCATAGAGGACTATTTGCACCACAAAGCTGTGCCGTTAATAGCAGCTGAGGCCTGAAAGTATCACAAGCAAAGGATCAGACAGGTTGTGACTTACCTCCACCTCCACCGAGCAAAGTGTTGTTGGCTGAAAGAGAGACAAGAAAGAAGAAATAATCAGGATAAGGCTTAAATTTTCTGAACCACAACTGAAACATTTAAAGACGTGCATGGAGGGACAATAAGTCATTGTAAATGTATACATGGCACTAAGTAGTTTATATTAAACAACCCATTTGAAGATGCCACTTGAACCTCAGTGGACCTGTGATTGGCATTTTGAGCAAATCCTATGAGAACTGCATAAATAATCAAGAGAATAATCAATAAGAAAAGTAACATTAGTCGCAGCCCTCATCACAAATAACCTCTGCTGAATTCAAGGTTACATCCGTAGGTTTGATTGTTCTGGTGACTTTTTTGCAACATAGCTACGAGTCCTGGGAATATAAAACCATAATTTCACAGCTGAAGATTAGTTAATTGATCAGTCGGTGAAAATTAATTAGCTTTTTTGACAATCGATCTACACAGGGTTTCCACACAGCCTTATATGGTTAAATTTTGTACAATATACTGGCTATGGCCCCTAGTGTTAAATGCAAGGAAATGCATTTCTCTACTGATGGATCAAAACATCGCCGCAGCTGAGAGAAAGGAGATAATATTTCCACTTTTTATAATCCAGTTGTACGAAATATGTGCAAAGAGCATGAGCGCAACTAAAACTGGCAAGAAATGAGTGAGGAAGTCGCTTGCTCTGTGTGTAGGAAGTTTTAAAAAAAAATGTTCTGCTAAAAGATTTATGATCCAGTGTGCATGCACTCTGTGTGATACACAGCTAGCATGTGGTAAACTAGCTAAACTATACATCCATTTTTTTCCACTTAGTGATAGTCGGGTAGTGGTGGCAGCCGGCTAAACAGGTCATTCAAGACATCCCTCTCCCCTGCAACATTTCTTCGTCCAGTTGAGGGATCACAAGGCATTTCCAGGCCAGATAAGATATATAACCTTGCAGCAACTTCTGGGTCTACCCTGAGGTCTCCTCCTAATTGAATGTGCATGGAAAAACATCCAAAGGACAGCATCAATAAAGTACCCTAATCAGATGCCTGAACCGCCGTAGCTGGCTCCTTTAAACGCGAAGGAGCAGTGACTCTACTTGTAGCTTCTCACCTCATCTCTAAAACCAGTGCACTACTGGGGAAACTCAATTTGGCTGCTTGCATCCACAATCTCAATCTTTCAGTCACTACCCAGAGTTATTACCACAGGTGAGCTTTGGAACGTTGATCAACTTATATAAATAGAAAAAATATATAGTATAGCGAGGAAGTAGATCTTGATTTACCAGTAGATCTGTGTTCCAGCTCAACGCGACATTTTTTAAGTATAGATTTAAACAGTTTGTCTGTCAACATAGTGAAGCTACTGAAACCCCTGTTAGCCCCTTCATTTTTCCACCTTCCCAAAACAGAGCACCGTCTCTCCAAAATCCACCACAAAGGTTCAGATTTTTCAGTGTGCTCAAGGCAAGTTCCAAACAGGAAATAAACAAAAAGTGGAGTTTTAAAAAGACCACATGGAGGTTCCCACAGGAATGAATGGACTTCCACTTGAATCTGACACAGTTATATGTGAAAATAAGGTGTCAGTTTAAAAAAAATAAATAAATAAATAAAAACACATTCTCTGGTGCCAGCTTCTCCGATGTGAGGATTTTCTGTTTTATTGTTGTTATTATTTGCTTGTTTATTATTAACTATAAATTGAGTTGTCATGGATTTTAGACTGTTGGTAAAATATACTATACATTTGAAGACATCACCTTAGGCAAGAGGAAGCTGTTTTGATAACTTGTTTACAACATCTCATCACTGCATCTGAGCTCAAAACATATCTTCATTTGAACTGCTGCATGAGTGCGTGGGGGTGTGAGAAACTCTGATCTCTTAAGACTTAATCAAGTTTTATATCTAATTGGCTGAACTTTCGTCTAGAAAAAAACTTGGGGCTTTAAGCTATGTTTACTTGCTGTGGGGGAAAACTGTCTCCACATTTGTCCTTCAGATCATAATTTGTTATTGGTGTCAGCATTTCTCAACGGGAGCGGTTTTCAATCCAAGTCCTCAGGGCTCACAGTTGTGCTGGTTTTGCCAACCAGTTGAGTTAATTGCATTCACCTGGCATTGCAGGTGTAACTCTGTCCCTGATTAGATGGATAGAATTAAAACCAGCAGGCTCCGAGTCCCGTCAATGAGGACTGAGAAGCTCGGCACAATAAGAACGAGCAACTTCACTGCCTGCAAAGCTAATGAATAAACTCACGCTGAGGCTTCGGTCTAAAGGATAATAAACAACTCATTGAGAGGAAATAGGCAAAATGGTTCAATTTGTCTTTTAGTTATGAAAAATTCAATCATACAGCGATTTTCTACCTGGATAACAAGAAGGTGACTGGACCTTAAAATAACAACATAATGAGCTCTTTTTACAGGAAAGCAAACAATGAATTAATGCTCGCAGCCTGGCTGGCCAGTTTGTCCCAAATCATTACCTTCCCCACTTGAATCAAGTCACTGCACATGCTTGTGAGTGTAAATTGCTGGCAGGGTGATAAGGCTGGCTGTGGCTGCTTTTGACATATGCGATACCCAAGTGTTTTTCTCACCCGCATATCCATAAATGTGCGGAGTCAGCAGTGTTAGCCCGAGGACATCTGCAGCACTTCCAAGAAACCCAAACGTGACCATAAACTCACACAAATCATGTTTTCTAATTCTTTCTCTGCTCGTGCATCATTGGTTGCTGTCATGTTTGGATAATCTGATAAGCACATAATCGCTCTGTGAGGGACAGTTACAAAGTTACATCAGAACACACAGGAGACGTCTCTCATTTTAGTTACTCCTTGCCAGTAGGCATTGTGCCAACTTGGTACGCGCTCGGATTGTGTATGAGGCAAGTCGGTTTTAGAAAGGGATGAAAAGAAACTAAATCCCACAGATGTCTTTCCTTCTCAAGAATCCTCTACTCTCCAACATTTTCCCCTACTGCCTCATTAATGGTAAATAGCACTTAATTTCAGCCTTTAAACACACTACACTCCTCTACTGTCTCACTAACATCTCCCAAAGTGAATATCTCCACTCTCTAATTTGAAATGTGCAGCTCCATACAGAAGTCTTAGAAGAAGAAAAAAAAAGGAGATTGTTTAATGTGACAGTGTAAGACTATTTCAGGTGCACAGCTTGTCTGAGAGCTCATGGATCCTATGATAAACTTGAATAAAAGCTCACTCTGATAAAAAGCCTCAGTAAGATAAATTGTCTCCATTAAGTCTGCCATTCATCCCGTGCATTAGCTGCAGGCTGTACATTAAGTTATATCACATACAAGTTCTTGTTGACACCCATCTGTGTTGACAAACACGCCCCAGGCCTTATAGTATAGAGTCTTAACTCCTGGGTGGTGGAAGGTCTTGTCAGGTCAGATGTGCTTGAAGGGGGCTGGATGCAGCGCTGACATGGAGCACTGGACCAAAACCAGAGTCATTGCAATGTGGCTGCTGTTGGAATGAATTGGTGAACCCACCTGAGACATCAGGATTTCTTGATTTCTTGTGAGTTTCAAGCTATTTAACTAAATTTGGTTACACCATTAAAATGCAGACGAAAAACAAAATTTTTCCACATCTTCCTTTAATTTGGTAAACTTGTTATTGAACTGTTACTTATTCACACATTCATCAGTTATGGAGCAATATTATAATTTATTATGAGTCATATTTCTGTCCACCCATGTGAACATCAGTCCAATGTTCACTCTCTTTTAGCTCTGCTTGTGATCTCTACCCACACCTTAGGGAAACATCTGGCTCTTTAGCTGCTAAATGATCCACTATGTCCACCAGATAGTTGCTAAATGTGTCTTTTTGCTGTTTGGTGCTGAGCAGGCAAAGTACAGTGGGATTGTAGAGGTCCCTGCTGCAGCCAAAAGCAACGCCGTGAAAGCAGTGAGGGTGAACCAGAACCAGTGAAGATGCAGGGAAACATGAGGGCCAAGAGCTTAGGGCGTTTACCACTTGAGTGAAAATGTCCTCAGCAGCCAAATCCCTGGTTCAACTCATGAACAGACAAACTTTTGCTGCCTGTCATTCCCCACATTTCCTGTCTGGCTCTACTGCAATTATCCAATAAAAAGGCAAAATGCCAAAAAAAAAACCTTTAAAGCAGTAAAGCCGAAGGCCAGAGCTAGAAACGCTAAATAGAAGGGGCAGAGTCTCTCTCGGTTCATCACAATGAAAGACTCCTTTCACATTATATCAACTTTAACAAGGTCCCATATGGTGAAAATCCATTTTTATTGCGTGTTGTGGTTGTTATAAACTTGGAGGTGTAAAATAAAAGCTGTTAAGGTATGAAGATGTTTACTTCTGCCATTCCCCAAGCCAAACCCACCACTAGATAGCCTCCTAGCTTTACAAGCAAATTTTAGTTTGTTAGCTGCTACATTCCAGCTAACAAACCAATCGTCATCTTGCTCAACATTTACATAATCCCACCTCCTCAGTGTTTGCTGTTTCCAGATGAGGCATTCAGAATGAACCGCTGCCTCATAGTCTGGCAGGTTTCTTTACTTTCTAGAGCTGCTTCTGCTAAATCTAAAATGCCTTATGACGCTAAGAGTGAACACAAGAGTCTCAATGCACTCCCAGCAACTGAGAAACTAAAGACCCAGCTGATTACTTTTATTACTGATAGCAAGGTTTCTACAACAATAGAAAAATCATTCATGTTGGCATGTTGTGCAGCTAATATGGCTAACGCTACTGTTAGCTTTGATTGTATGCTCATACAACAAGTTTGAACTTGTGTATAACAGGAGTGGTTGGATTCACTTTCACTCAACACATAGAGTACAAAACAGACCTTAAGTCACGAGAGAAGGGAAATTGTTTTAAATTAATCTAATACTCATTGTTATTTAATCACTAGCACTGGGTTAACTCTGTAATGGTATATTTTGACCTCTGTCAAATGGGACCAACTGTCACCTCATAACATGGGAAAATAATTTTTTCAC